AGTTTGTAGAAAATGCAGCAGAAATAGTAAAAATACAGAAAAATGAGGTTGGAACGCGGTTTTTAAGATCAAGATGACATTTTTCCGAAAAATGTCGTGAAGAAACTCCCCCTAAAATCACATTTTATATGTGACGAAGTTGAGAACGAAATTTATTTGCCAAAGAAAATCCCCAAAATGCCCTTAAGTCAATTTTTTCAATAAAAATGTAAAATGAGTCCATAGGAGGCTTATTTCACTAACGAAAGAGTTTTTCATGATAACGATCATGCACACAAATGTAATTAGTGATTTTGAGCATGCGGGAATGATTTGCGGCTCTCAAAAATGACAGAGTCAAAATCTGACCCCCCGACGGCCAAAAAGGCGAAAATGAACTTGAAATGGAAATTTTGAAATCCAAAATTAACAAATGACTTCAAATTACCATTTGGCCCTTAGCCACACTTCATACATAATTAATGAGACCCTATGAAAGAATGAAAATAAAATTTTCACACCCGATGCAACCATGGCAAAACAATAACTTGACATTTTTTAATATTTTCATAATATTTCATGAAGTCAAAATTTACATTGGATACAAAATACATGTCATTGGCCTCTGGCCTCATCTCATACATGTCAAATACATTGCAAAGAGTGTACTTATGTACACATTATATATATAGAATCAAATATACACATTTTGATATAAAAGGCTACAAGTGGCATTTCAAGCCCATCTTTACAAGAGTCACGAACAAGAATACACTTAAAGAACTCCAATTCATCGAAACAATCCTGGGATATTGTGCATCCCAAACCAAGGCATCCGTACCTAACAAATCACCCTGTAACTTTGGGGTGAGTAAATAAGTTTACTCGTAGGGAATGAGCATGCATAGACTCAATTTTTTACAGATTTTTACATTAACATGAAACAATTCAAAAGGATCATGCCACCTAACGTCTATGTCAAAGTGAGACTCAGGGATCATCCTAAGCTACTCATGCAATTGAAATGAACTACTGCATACAAGTATACATGCTCAAGTACACTAAACAATGTCAAAATATGTTATACGACATTCAAGCATACATTTTCAAGTATACTAAATCATAATAAAACAAGTTATGCAACGTCCAAGCATATCTACTCAAGTATACATTTAATATGGAAAACTTGTAAATCAAGTACACAAACACAAGTATACTAAACTAATAGGATTGCACATGTGACAAGTATATATAGCACAAGTATACTAAATGAAATTTAAACTCATGGAGCAAGTATACAAGTTCAAGTATATTGAATAGGATTCAAATATCCAAGTAAGCATTAATTCTCAAGTTACAAGTAATCCATGATTAACAACTTGAAATTAAATGCGAAATCAAATAGTGAAAAAACTAGGACATGCGGTCTCTAGACCAAGCAAGTATTTTCGGGTAATTACGACCCTCAAGGTACCACCTAGTGCGCATTTATGACTTAGAAGACTCTTGTCTCCGTAATAGAGCCACACCCTAGCCATCACATAAATTATGTCCTCACAAGCTTTCCAAAACCAATAAGTTCAAAACTTATACAAAATCAAATGCAAGTTACCACATTCCATGCACAAGTAAGGTTGAATCCACACAAACCATGTCCTAGAATTCAAGTCTAAATAGCATATGACATGTCAAGTCTTCAATATGCAATTATACATAAAGCAAGAATATTTTACAACAATTGAGCCACATTACCATCTTAAGCCACAAGTACTAAATAAGCTTTAATTTAGTAACTAGTTTCCAAGGTAAACAATTGTAATATTCTAACAAGTTATATACCAACACAAGATATATTTAAACAAGTTATGCAAGTCAATGATATTCTATATCATTCTAAGTCTAATTACAATTTCAAGATGCCACAAGTACTAATTCTACATCTAATTAGTAATATCTTCACAAAGTAATTGAACATACAATATTTTAAGAGATTATCAACCTAACATGAAAAGTCTGTAGATTTCAAATCAATTCCAAATAATCTCAAATTAATATATGTTAAACAACATAGCATGCTTATTACATATATCAAATCAAAAGAGCAAAATGAGCAAGACATCATTATGTAGATTTTAATTAATTTAAATTAATTAAATCTCTAATATTTCAAAAGTTGTTCAAATGATCCTAAATAATTATATAACAAGGATTAAGTTATGGCTATGCCATATATCAAGTCAAAAATGGAATACAAGCAAGGTACAATTTAGTAGAATTTAAATCAATTTAAATTCATTAAATCTCTAGATTCGAAAACTCATTTAAATTACCCCAAATTAATATACAATAAAGATCAAGTCATGACCATGCCATATATCAAGTTTAAAGTGAGTTATATGCAAGTTACAATAAATCATTTATTTCTCAAATTGATATAAAACATGCATACAACTTATATTTCACTATAAAAGCAATTAAAACCACTTAAAAAATAAACTATAACACCCCCTACCTCACTAGAGAAGAGTCTCTCTAGAATCCAAGGCAAATCAACACAAAATGGCAAACCCTTCAAGTGTCATGTAGAGGAGGATGAGGGAAACAAAAAGTATTCCAAACTTTATGGTCTAAGGTGAATGGAAGGGCCTCAAAAATTACGGTCAAAACTTAAGGCTTTAAGCTTCATCCATAGAGGCTAGCGTTTTCTTTATAAGAGATATAAGAGAGGGAGATGATGAAATCAAGTGTGATAGAATGTGAGTGGAGGAAATAGAAATCCTCCACTCACTATGTGGTTTTACACTAAGGTCAATTGCACAAAAACCCTTCTTTAACAACATAATTCCAAAGTAGCCCAAAAATAATTGTAAGACTTAATTTGGAGCATACACTTGTTACTCATCCAAGCATCCATTGTAGGCTTAATCCTAAGCCTACACTTGTCAACCATCCAAGCCAATAAGTGCACTTATCCTAGGTCAACAAGTGGTTGAATCTCCACCCTCCACATGTCATCATCCAAGGTATCAAAGTGTCCCCACATAAATGTAAACAAGTGGACCAATGAGAATGTGACACTTGTCACACTTTCCAGAAATTATAAAAATGTCCTTTTTGAAAATATCTTCAAAATTTAATTACAAAATGGTCCCTAAGATGAAAAATAATTACTTTATTGTAATTACACAAATAACCCCAAAAGAAAGAATAATTCCAAAGAAGTGTGCATCCACACCCTTAAAGAAGAAAGTACACAACTAGTATGCTTTTCTACAAAATTAAAAATACACATAGCATGTAATTTAAATATCGTGGATGCATGCAAAAACCAGAATCAAATTCGAATATGAAAAGTGAGGTTATGCCAACAAAGTGACAAACGGGAAAAGGACGAAAAGTGAATAGTGGCGAAAAAATAAAAATGGGGAAATGAATCGATCCTCACAAGGAAGTTGTCAATCCAAAGGAAAGAGTCTCGGAAACCATTTCCGAGCACTCGAGATGACACAAAGTGACGAAAAACCAAACATAGAAAAGAAAAGACAACGAAAAAAATTTATCCACAAAATTTGAGGAAAAATGAAAGGAATGAAAATAACCGGGTCATTACAAGATCCCTAAGCAAAAATATCTTAAAAAGATAATTACATAAATAACCCCAAAAAATAAAAATATTTTCGAAAAAACTATGCATCCATACCCTCAGAAAATATAATTAAATAAGCATACTTTTCTATGAAATTAAAACATGCATTGACAGTAAAATAAAATAGTGCAAGTGTGTGTGGTGCCGGAAATCGATTCCGGACACTGAACCTTACCTCGGGTCTTACAAAATCCTAAGGTAATGCGAAAAAAAATTAAACAAATAAATAAATAAAATAAAATAAATAATAATAAAAAAAATGTTTAAAAAGGAGAAAGATGACACTGTCATCACACTAGAAGACTTGTGTAACGAGCGTTTGGTCAATGACTCCCAAATCGAACGACTTTAGGGCATTAGGTGTTAAAACACCCGTAAGAATTTAAAATGCTGAAGCCAACTGGGCTACAAATCAAAACAACTCTCACTTTCCAACCTTTCATTTTTTTGACGTGAGAATTCAATACTTAATGAGATAAGAATTTCGGTTACTCGGTGAAAAAGTTCTTATTTCAAATGAGCCCTTCACTTTTTGACACGAGAATTTAATGCTTAATGAGGCAAGAATCCTAGTTACTCAGTGAAAAATGGTTGTTATTAAGCATGCGAGGTCATTATGTAAAGAGTGAAGACTCTTCAAAGCCTACTAGATCAAATAGGATATAACCAAAACAATGATCATCTAAACATGTACCCCACAAGATGAATGCTAGTGTGTGCCTGTGCAAATGTAGCACACTAGAATTAATTTTTTAACACATGTTCAACAAATAAGATGATTTGGACCATAAAAGTAAACATGGTAACAAGAGTTTAAAAAATTCACCCCTAAATGGCATTCAAAGGCATACAAAAAGTATTATACTCTTGAATCAAGATAAGACATGGCAATCAATATTCCAAAAAGATAGAACTCAATGCCCAAAATTTTTCATTCTCCATCAACTACTAGCAAAAGAATGCAAAACAAACTATCTTACCCCCAAACTTAAATTAAACATTGTCCACAATGTGTAATGGGAATAAGAGATATGATAGAGAAACTATACCAGCGAGGCGGTAGCAATGAGTCAAAAGGCAAGTTAGTACCCCCAAACCTGGATTCTAGCATCACCTAAAAAGTGTACACTAACACTAACCTCATCAATATCACACATGGAAAGAGGATACAGAAAACTTATGCAAAGAGAATATATTAGAGAAGAAGAGAGAGAGAGATTATCTCAATCATGTTAGAGAGTTGTCCACTTGAGAAACTGTCATAGAATAAATATATAGAAAGAATAATATCCAAGTGACAAAAGTGAAACCAAAATCATCTATAACAGTACAATACTGAATGTAAGGCCAACAAATTGGCCATCAAAATAACAAATGTAAAGATGCTAAAAGTCTGAGTCCACTACAACAAATTAGGGATTCACCAGCGTTCTTTTTATGACCGCTGGTGTTAGTTAATAATTACTAGCGTTCACTGGTAATGTACTTTGACAAGTGTCCTCTAAACGAATGCTGGTAATTATGTACTTTTACCAACGTTCCCTGAACGAATGCTAACTATTATCTCATCTGACATTTCAAAATTGAAGCCCTAGTTTCTCTTCAGGCCATCTGTCCTCTGCTCTATCTCCATCTCTTCAGGCCGTCTTCCACCATGAACCTGTTCGTCGAATAAAGAGACGGGGAGAGAAAGGCATATCACAAACTCTCTCTTCGTTGATCTCCATATATCTATAGGGTTAGTATTTTAGTCCTTTTCACTAGTTTTTTTTTTTTTTTTTTTTTTTTTTTTTTTTTTTTTTTTTTTTTTTTAAATCTATACATATATGTGTGTGTGTGTTTTTTTTGTTTATTGATCTATTGTTTAATTGATTCCTGTTTTTTTTTTTTTTTTTTTCATTTGATGAATACAGGACTCATCTATACTATTTTGATGTTAGATTTGGGCGAGAGGAGTTCAATTTTTGAAGAGGATACCTACAAACAGGTTAAGGATTTCAATTTTGTTGATGTATTTACAAAATTAAGGTTAGGGCTTTGATGTGTAGTACAAAATTGGGGTTAGGGTGGGGCGGTGATGCCGGTGAACTAGGTGTGGCAAGGCATGAGTTTCAGTGAAGCTCTAGTATTCTGGCAAGGTAAGAGTTTCAGTCGGCGAATCTGAATTCGAAAGGAACCCTAGATCTGTTGGGAGGACAGAGCACCGGTGGCGCCGGAGGAGGAGACTCGAGGATTAAGAAGAGAAATGTAAGATTCTTCTACCTATTTCTATTTTTGTTGGTCTAAGTTACGATTTTTAGATCTTTTTCATTTTCTATGTGGTTCCAGTCTAACATATTTTATTTTATTTTTAGTATTATTTATTTTTTTATCGATAGCATTTATACAAATTTCACACTTATGTATTTTGGGATTTAATTTTGGAATGAGGTTTTTGGGAATTTCACGTTATATATGATGCTTTATGTTCAAAATTTTAGAAAATTGGATGACTGTGCTTGCATATATTTCGAAATTTTAATGGGGTTGTGACTTATGACTATGGATGATTGTGTTTGTGAATCTGTTATAGGCTGTGAAGTGGTGAGTTTTGATACTCCGTGTCTCAAATTTTGAATATATAATATATCTATATATATATATACATGTGTTCTATGTTCAAACTTGGTGAAGAAAATTCTAAATGCATGTATATAATTTTGTGTTTGGAATATATATGATAGGCTGTGGTTGTGATAAGCTGTGTTGATATTGATAAATCTTGTTTTGGGGGTTTGGATTTTCATGAGAACATTTGGGTTGAACAAATTTTGACTGTTTTTGGCATGTATATATATCTGTGATTGTGAAACTTTGTAGAACTATGACTGAGATGATGTCTATAGGAGGAATTTTGAAATGCCTTTGAAACTGTTATAGGTTGAGAATGGATTGAAGAATTTGAGATGATATATATATTTGTTGAAAATCCATGTGTATTTCATCACAATCCATATTGCCTTGTGTTCATTTTTGTGTTGACGGACTTTGATTGTTTAAGGAATTTAATACATACATGTGGGATTTGTTACTTTGGGAAGATTTTTGGAAAATTTTTGACTGAGATGCATAGATTTCAATTTGTGGAAGGGCTGTGATTGTTGATTTCCATTTATTGTTTGATCTTTGATAGGTTATTACTGTGATGCATCTATGTGGCTTAAAATCTCAAAATCTTTAAAGGGGCTGTGAATTAACTCCATGGATTATTGTGATGCATATGTGATTTAATTTCTGAAATATTGTTGGGGCTATTACTGTATGAATTTCTGTCTTCTGTGAAATAGATGTCATTCAATAGGTTTTCAAGGGTAAGTAAAATCTACAGTATATCATTTTAATAATATAATTTTTTTTAAGGCTTGTGCGACAGACTTGTGAGACATGCTATGATGGTTTATTGTGATATTATATTATTTTGCTTTAGAGAGAAACCTTACATAGTGAGGACTATCTATAGTGGGATATTTTATAGTTGGATTTTTATTTAGTTCTAGATATCAGTTGGTTTATTTTATGTTGACATGGGTTGTGATTATTATTAGTCGTGGTATGTTGAGATATTGATGAGACAACATGTTGGTATTCATGTTTTTTGGGTTATGTATGTGATTGAATGTTGAAACGATGAGTGAAAGGCCAAGAGTGCCTTTGACCTCAAGTTAGAAGCGTAACAGTTTCTCTCAGCATCAACAAAATAAGCAGATGAGCTGCCCTGCAATGGGTCAATTGCTCTCACACACACTCTATTACAAACACTTATTCCCTTATTATTCTTTTAATGTTCTAGGTGGCCACGATAATGAAGGTAAAATGCTATAGGCTTTTTTTGATGCAGTTTTTAGCCACCTATTTTATTGTAACATCACATATTTCTTTCAAATACTTAAGACAAGGGTTGTGTTTTCACATATGATGTCGTTGGATCCTATGAGAGAGTTGGATACAGTTCCCAAAGTTCTAGTTCCACACTAATCATGCCTTTTCTGGAATTCCAACTAAAGTAGCCCTCTTTTGTTACCTGCCAAGGTATGGATTTATCCTCAATTATTTGCTGACAGATATTCTTGTAGTAATTTCTCTTTTAAGTGTCTGGTTTAAAACCCAATTACCTTTGCAGGATGCAGTTACTCCACTTTTAGAATCAGAAGCAATTGATTTGGTGAAGACCTGTTTTGCATCTACAACGAAGAGGGATATATACACTATAAGTGTCTGCCTCTTCAGTTTTCAGCCTTCCTGTATGAATTTAAAAATTGAAGTTTATGCCTAAACTCTAAAAATTCCAAAGCCATACATCAAGACATATAGTAGAATGTCTTTCTACGCGTAGTAATTTTTACCAGCAGATCTATAAATTGTTCTTGAATGAAAATAAGAATGTTTACTGCATAGATATCAATAGTTCTACATATATTGTCAATTTTCATAGCCTTCACTTTTGCTCCTTTTCTTCTCTTCACCCTTATCTTCCCACCCCTATGCATGCTCACTTTTCAGGAAAAAGCTTTACTTTTGAGCAAAATTTTCAATTTTCAATTAATAAGCTCAAATTCCATGAGCTATAGAGGTCAGATACAAACTATAAGAAGGAACAAGTAAAGAACAAGACAAATAACAAATCTTTTTTTTTTTTTTTTTTTCCTTCAAAAATCATCTCTGAATTATCTATTTCATGACATATATACGAGTTTTTCTCAGCTTTGCAATGCCTATTTTAAGTTACTCGGGACTAAAGATATATTATCCAAATGTGCTTTGCTGTGCCTTTTCATTTCAATTCTGTAACATCTACAGTATATCATTTTAATAAGATAAATTTTTATTTTTTATTTTGATTAAATTTCAAAATTTGTAGTTATTTGGTCAGCTGAATTTGTCATAGCCTTACAAGTTCAAGGGTAGCAGCACATGCCAAAAGGATTCCAAAGCACACGTGTCATAAGCTGATTGGGCGAAGCAAACGTGAGATGCACAAGTGCAGTCAAGCCTGTTCTAAAGAACCTAATGGTGTTGGAAAATGTGACAACCTTAAATTTTAATTAAGTCTTCCCTATGTTTAGGACCAGAATTACTTGATTTTTGATTTAATTTCTTTCTACGTATTTCATGTGTTGCATTTTCAATATTATTACATCCCTAATTGCTTGGAATTTATTTAAATTCATTGGAAGTCATTAACTTGATTTCTATCTATTTTACATGGTTCGTTGGCAATTTATAATTCCTTAATTGTCTAGTATATAATTTTTTTTTGATCTAGTATTTAATTTATAGTTATGAGTTTCATTTAATTTTTCTATTTTAGTCAGGGGATGAATTTAGTTGTTAAAAATAAATAAATAAATAAAATTGGTAGGGCCAATGAATGATTACTTTTGGAAATGAGGGAGTATTGAAATATTGATAAAAGATGGTTTAATGGGTTTGCATGTGGCAGCATGTAGGGGATCTAGAACTAGGTGTCATTCATATGCAAAACTTGGAGACACGTTTAATTATTTAGCACTACACTTGTAACTAGTTCCCTCATAGTTGTTGCATGCCAAACCAAAAAGAAAACTCCCAGCCGTGAGTTGTCTGATAGAGAAAAAGAAGAACAGAAAGCGAAGAAGAAGAAGAAAGGTTCGGACTAAGGCTGAAATGTAGGCGCTTTACCCTCACACCATCTAATCTCACCACCTCCAGTTGTTACCTTCAATTGGTTAGGGATTCTCTTTAACTCTTGCAACCTTGAGAGTTATTTAAAGCTCTGTTTCCTAATTTAATGTTCCTCACTAATTCCATATTTCATCTCTGTAAGTTTACAAAAAAAAAAAAAAAATTAGATTAATTGTTATTATGAAATTCTAGTTTTGCTTGCTGCAAGTACATGATTTTCTTGTAGTCAAATACTTGATTTTAGCAAAAACATTATACATATGCTTGGTTAAGATTTGAGTTTTATTACATACAAGTATTGTTTATGATTTTATTTTAGAACTCTATGTGAGTAAATGTTTTCTTAACTGATGTATATTACCAATCCTATGCCAAATAATTCTACTAATATTCTAGAATGTTGTAATTGAGTTGTCTTAAAATGTTTGGGTTGAATTATGCTATATTACTTAACTTTGGGACTAGGAGGGTGATGTTCAGGGCGAAAAGGGTGAGCAATTAGGTATGAGCTATGATAAGCGCAGAAAAGTGTGCATTTAAACCCCTTAATCTTGAATGTTCTAGGACCTTATTCTATCTTATTTTTTCGTTTTAATCTAATTTCATGTTATTCCCCTTTTCAGGCACTTATCTCCAAAACATGTCAAATCAGCTGAATTAGAGCATTGGAGGAAGCAATCTAAAGTTTAGTGGAAGAAAGGAGCAAAGTGGAAGTAAAGTGTGAAAAAGTCATCTTCGATCAATCGAACCAAGCTATGATCGATTGCATTGCGATCATTCCAATCATGCCATGATGGATCGAAACCCTTGTCCTTATCCTCAGAAAAATTTCCTATTCGATCGATCAAACCTTTCATTCGATCAATCGAACCTTTTGATCTTATCCTCATAACTACTTTTGTCATTTTCCCATAAATATCTCAGCCTTTGTCCTTATCCAAATAATTGCGCCACCTTACTTCGATCAATCAGAGCAACCATGTGATCGATCGAACAACCTCAAAATGCGTGCAGAACAGATTTCAAGCTGAATTGAAGGTGTGCTCGTGGTGGAATCATTTGGAGGTCCTAGTGCATGAGGTTTAACCAATGGGTATGACATTTAAGCCACCTATATAAGGAATTTGTCTATTTTTGTAATGACCCAGTCATTTTCTTCCTTTTCCTTTTTTTTTTTCAAATTTTGCGGATAAATTTTTTTTTCATTATCTTTTCCTTTTCGGGTTCGATTTCCCGCCTCTTAGTGTCGTTTCGAGTGCTTGGAAATGGTTTTTGAGACTTTTTCCTTTGAATTGACAACTTCCTTTGAGGACCGAGTCATTTCCACATTTTTTGTTTTTTTGACACTATTTATTTTTTCGTCTTTTCCTTTTTTCGTCCTTTAGTCATTTTTCATTTTTCCTTACTTAACCTCACTTTTTGTGCTCAGATTTGATTCCGGCTTGGCATACGTCCATGATATTTAAATTCCATGACATCTACATTTTTACTTTGGTAGAAATGCATATTAAATGCTTACTTTCTTTGTAAAAGTCATGAAAACAAGACTTTTTGTAATTATCCATAACTTGAGTGGTTTTTGAGTAATTAAGTAAAGTAATTATTTTTTTGTCTTAGGGACCATTTTTCAAATTAAATTGGAAGATATTTTCAAAAATGATCATTTGCAATTTCTGAAAAATGTGACAAGTGTCACATTCCTATGGTGCCACTTGTTGATTTTGTGGTGGAACCACTCGGAGGCTTAATTTCATGACATATGGAGGGTGGAGATTCACCCACTTGTTGTCCTAGGATTGGTGCACTTGTTGGCATAGATGGTTGACAAGTGTAGGGTTAATATTTAATCTTGGAAGCTTACTTGGATTCATGACAAATGTAGGACTCACCTTTAGTCTTGCATTAGTGTGTGTGTGAGAGGTAGTGCAAGAGTACCTAGTGAGTGGAGAAGCCCACCAATTTAGCTTAGATTTACACATTTTAATTCATTCATCACTTTCCTCTCAAGAACCCTAAGGAAGCCACCATTGGAGAAAAGCTTGACTAGTAGCTTTGACTTCATTTTTGGTGCCCTTTCATTCACCTTAGAACTTTGAACTTGGAATACTTTAGGCTCCTCCCACTCTCCTCTTCAAAACCCTTGAAAGATCTAACCTAACTCCTAGTTTTGCTTTGGTATCTAGAGATTTAATTTTCTAGTGAGGTATTAATCTATTATTTTGAAGTATTTTTATGTCATTATTGAGTGTTTTACATGCATGGAAGAGAATGACTTGTATTTTGCCCTTAAACTGTTTTAACTTGAAATTAATCTTATCAAATTAAATATAGAATATGAAAATATACTCAATTATCTTTCATTTAGTTTTGGTTTCATGTAATTTGGATTTAAAATGAATTAGTTATGAATTTTTGAAGTTGCAAGCTAGTTGCTGGAAATTTGAAACTTTTCCTTTTTAGTCCGGAAATGAATTTTTTATATGGAGCTATGGTGCTTCAATTGCCTTGAAATTTTTACTGGAACTTCCCCCATGGGTTTTACATTACTCAGAATTTTTTTACGATTTTAGAGAATTTCTAAATTTTTTTAAAAATCCAAAACTATTTGCTGTCCATGTTTTTATTGCAGCTGGAAAACATATTTTTAGATGATTTATTTCACTAACCTTTTGACATTAGATCATGGCTTAAATTTTCAGTTTTACACTCTCATATGTTTACTTCCAAAATAAATTAGGTTTGCCCAATTTGGATGTCAAATGAATTTTTCATGAATTTTCAAAGTTGGAAGCTACAGGCTGAAAATGTGTTTTCTGGTAAGAAATTGTTTCAAAGTGGTGGGGCAAAACTGTTTCAATTGGGAAAATATTTTGTTAAACTAAATTGATATTATCAAATTACAGTGTTTAAGCTTTCATTGGGCTTTGGATTCATTCAATTTGGGTTAGAATTGAAGTTTTTATGAATTTTACAAGTTGAAGGTAGCAAGCTGAAAAATCTGTTTTGTGGACCGAAAATTTGGGGCGATTTCATTTCGATGGTAATTGGGATTTTCATTCCAATTGAGGTAGGGAATGTTTTAGGATTATTTGTGTGTTGTATTATGTGTTTGCTATGATTATACAACATATATGTATGCCTTGTATCAAATTTAGAAAGTTAGTAATTTTTATTTCTTTGTATAAGATTTAAAATTTATGATAATGTATAACTTTGATTTGAATTGTAACATGTTAGGAAATTATGCTTAGATATGTTGGTTAACATATATTAAATTTGGATCATTTGATTAAGAATTACAACTTTTATTTAATATTTTATCTTTAGTGAAAGTTTAATTCACATGGTTGCATGAAGCATTAAATCAAGTTTTAATGTGGTATTTAAATAGGCCTTGGCATGTTCTCTAACATAGATTAAAGTGAGGGCATTTGGAATTGTTTAAAAATCTAGAGGAAATTAATTAATTAGCTTAATTAATTTTGTTTTAAGTGTTTTAATCACTTAACTTGTCATTTGATGTTATATATATGATGACCATGACATGTCTTTCAAAATATATTAAATTGAGGTTATTTGGATTAACTTGGAATTTAGAGAATTTAACTATTTATATTTAATTAAATTCTACTTTATTACTCCATGGATTTAATTGCATTTTAGAAGTTGTTTCTATATTTAAATCATGAATTTGGATTTGATGTATGTTCACTTGATTACTTTTGAGCATTGGATAACATAGTTGTTACTTTTATATTCATGAGAATATGTTTTTCCTTATTGAATGTATTGTTGCTATGTGTAAGGAATTGCACACTTTGTATTTGACATCTTACATGCCATAGTAGTTGTGAATTTTGACCATGTATTGTATAAGTTTCAAAAATTTGGATTGTGCTTGGTAAATAGTTGATATCTTGTATATACATGTTGATATATATACGTTGTTGCACAATTTGTTGATTTTGGAAACTTGGGGATGTCGTTGTTTGGCTACGGCTAGGACTTGGTTCTAGTACGGGGGACTGTCCCTCTATATAGTCTAGTGCGCACATAGAGAGGTTACCCATGGGCTAGTAACCCTAAAGTAACTATGTTGTCGGTCTGATCCGGCGTGACGTCCGAGTATCCACTTTGTTTGATTTCGTATTTCATTTCAAGTTGATAATTAGATGATATTGTAACTTGTTGTTCCTTATTTGATTTCCTATTTTGAGCTTAAGATATAGCTTTGTGAAAGCAAGCTTCATGCGTTGTATTGGAAGTTCCATTGTTGGTTAAATTGCATCGATATCATAATTTGTGTTTTGATGTTCAAACGTAGTTTATGAATGACCTTATAAATTCATTTTGAACATAGACGTTAGGTGGTATGACCTACACTTGTTGTTTTCGTATTTTGGATTTCAAATTGATGACTTTGAGAATCTATATCTTGTTGCCTTGTATAACATGTTTCCATGTTGTTTGAATTGCATGAACAATGTGATTATGATATAAATGATCTAGGTAACTTAGGATGCTTCCTGGGTCTCATCTTTATATAGACGTTAGGTGGCATGAGCCCCTTTAACATGTTTCACTATAAGGTGATAAAATTGTAAAATGTTAGGTCGATGCATGCTCATCTCCTACGAGTAGCTTTATGTTACTCACCCCTACGATACTGGGGCATATTTCAGGTACAGGACTCCGGATTTGAAGATTCCATTGCTCCTTGGATGGCTTTCAGTTTCTATGTTTTTATTTTATGCAAGTGTTAGCATAAGATGCCTCTTTGTAGCCCTATTTGTTTAAACTTGTATTCGTTGATTCGTATATGTAAAGTGTACGTAAGTGCACTCTTTTCAATGTATTTAACATGTATGAGATGAGGCCGGAGGCCAATGACATGTATCTCATTTTCTATGTACTTTTGTTTTTAAAGTTTATTATGAAAATATTGAAAAATGTTAAGTCATTACTTCATAACTTTCGCATCGGGTGTTGGAATTTCATATCTTTTCTGCCTGGACTCAGAATCAGATGATTCTTGAGTCTAATTTTGTTCATTTTTCTTTGTCCTTCCAATGGTGTGCATGGTGGCACCCTTTTCAGTGAGAAATGACCATTTTGCCCTTAGTTCATCTCTTTTCGGGTTAGGCATTCTTGCTTCATTTGCTCGGCTCATTTGAGCTCCGTGGCTTCATGGAGAGTCATTTTGGGGCCTTAGGGATGACGTACATCTCTTGAGGTCATTTGGCTTCTTTTGCTTCCGTATTTCGGGTCCATTATTGGGTCAACTTCCGATTCATCACTAACGCACCGGGTTGAGAAATCCGGGTCGTTACAATTTTTAGCAAAGAGGTTGGTTAGTTAGAGAGAGAATTGGCTAGAGATTAGAGAGAGAAATTACATTTTGGAAAAGTTCTTCCATTTTTCTAGGATTTCCATCAAGAACACCAAAGGAGGAGGATGAATTCAACTATAGAGAAAGCCCTTGAGGGTTGGATGACACCAATCATGAGTGGCTAGATTATTCTGTTAGGGCTAGATAGCCCTAAGCACACCTCCTAGACTTTGATGTTTGTAATTAATGGGGATTTGTGTTGTAATTCTTGTTTTGACCTCTTATATATATAAATCTTGTTTCTACATGATTTATGTAGTTTAATACTTTTAATTGATCTTTAAGTCTATTCATATGTTTATGTATGTTAGAATAAATGGTTATGTCCTTTACACTTGATTCTTTATATTTGATGCATATCCATGTGTATTACAATGTTGGGTCTAGTGTGGGTCAAGGCATGGTACTTAATGGATTACTCTTGTGGTTTATTTGACGGTTCATACTTATTTCTTGATAGATTATGCCACCTCCTTAGTTTAATTAGTTTAATTTTCATGTCATTAGCATAGTTGTAGTGTAATTGCTTTAATTTCCTAAATAGGTGGGCAATCCATTCTTGTTGTTTGATGATCCATGCTTATAAGTACAAGTAGTATATTTCTTTATATTCTTGAGTGTGAATTAATTGTGGGCTTATGAAAGGATTAATGGTTTAATTTGATATGTTGTATTATTCACTGGATTGGTTAGACAATGTATACTTACTTGGCCATCTAAGTATAATATTTCAATAAATGGCATACACCTTATTTATAACACATAATCCCCCCTAATTTGTCAAATATTAAATGTCTAAAAAGACAATGCTTAGTGGTGAACTCTATGTCCCAAGAACCCTCTCTCGTTTTCTACATCTCACTTGTTTAACGTTACACTACTTTAATTTACATTGCAGTATAATTAAACCAACAAAACCCCCTTTGGATCATTCGACCTACTAATCTGACATTGATTCCGGAATACCTTCCTCTTTCCCTTGGGCCGATCCCTACTCACTTTTGCTATTTTAATAGTTAGTAGTGGTAGTGGCATTTTACAAATTTAAACTTGGCCACATTTTTATCACACACCGAGGTTTGACACACCAAACTTGTTAATTTTAATCAAAACATCTTCAATGATACCCCGGGGCTTCTTAATTGATCGGTCGGCTAGTTGTAAAACTACCGACATCGATTTCAAATCACCCAAGCCCAATTGAACATAAATCAAATAGGGGAGAAGATTCACACTCGCTCCTAAATCCAAAAGAGTCCGATTGATATCATGATCATTGATAGTGCATAAAGTGCTTGGTGAACTGGGGTCTTTGAACTTTGGGAAGGTGTTGTGTTGTAAGATAGAGCTCACTTGTTCAGTTAAAACAACTTTTTTCGGTGCTTGGCTTTTGTTTTTCCTTTTAAGGGTGCAAAGATCTTTAAAAAATTTGGTATAAGCCGGAATTTGTCGAATTGCATCTAAGAGAGGAAGATTGATTTTTACTTGCCTAAACACATTAATGATTTCATTACCCTTATTTTGTTGCTTTTCAAGAGAGGTGGATGCTTTTAAGGCATCTGGAAATGGAGCTTTAGGCCTAAAAGTTTTTTTAAAAACATTCTTTTAAGCATTTTCAACAATGGGATTTTTCACATTCAATGAAAGAGGAATAGGAAGTGATACGGGACAGGTGTCAATATTAGGTTGCACCGGTTCACTCTCTTCATTGGTAACACCAACTTGGTTGTCAATAACTCTCACACTTCTCAAAGTGGTCATCGCATTCACATGTTCAAGTGTGTGACCTTCCGAAAAGGAATTGGTCTCCACAACAAATTTTTGCTTCGGTGGGGGATTCAAAGGGATTTTTCCTTTCTCCCTTGCATTCAGCGTGCTAGCTATTTGTCCGACTTGGGTTTCTAGCTTTGCAATCGATTGGGAATGAGAATGAAGTAATTGAGTAGTTGCCTCTAAAGTACCCAAATCGGATAAAACTCTCTCTTAAAATGCAGGACTTCTTGAGTTTCCTTGAGAATATGATGATTGGTTTGGAAAATGATAGTTGGAAAATTGATTTCCATTTGATGCTTGGTAAGATGAACGATAACCTTGGGAACCTTGGCCTGGTATAAGAGGTATAGCATATTTGTTTTGGAAACCACTTTGGGGAGGGTTTGGGCCTTTCCTTTGGCTTTTCTAAGAGAAATTTGGATGGTTCCTCCACCCGGGATTATAGTGAGTGCCATAGGGATTATTCCCTTGGTTAACAAAAGTGGCATTTACTTGCTCATGGTGTTCACTATGCGCATGTCCATATGGATAATTGGAAGTAGAGTACAAAACACTGGAACAAGTCATGCATGATTTATTGGAAGGATGATGAGCATGATTAGGGGAGGAAGACACTTGATGAGCCGAGTTTTGGTTGATCAAACCTTTGGGATAGAAACTTAACTTCGGCGACTATATCATTAGTATTATCAACTTGATGCAAGCCTACATTCTTCCTTTCACCTACATTTCTACCATTTTTAGATGATAAAGAGTGATGTATTGAGTTTTTACTCATGCTCTCATATAAGCGCCGTACACCATTTTCATGCTTATCAAGATAAGAACCACCCATAGAAGTATCAACCATTATGGTCATTTCAAAAACGGACAAAAAGAACCTAGGGGCAAAATGGTCATTTTGCAAAAAGTGGATTCAGGTGCTATCGAGCACAACTCTGGAAAGACAATGACAAATTAGTCAAGTTCAAAAAAAATTTTACTCAATTTGGAGTCCGGACGGGGGAGAAAGGTCAAAAACAAAAATGATGTCGTGGCGGCCCGACGAGGACAACCCACCACTGCTGCAACTGAGAGTAAAAACGGGCATCTAAACGGACTTTTTTGGAAAAACTCAAAGAAGAAACCCCCCCTAAAATCAAGTTTCCTACCCCAATATCAGACGGAAATAAAAAAAAATGCATTGTAAAATGCCCAGAATGCCCCCAAGAAAATCAGGTCAAGAGGAAAAAAACTAATCCGAGCTACTGCCTAAGTTTTGGAAATAGGGCTTCGGGAGGTTTTTAAATTGCCTAAATTGAAAATACAATCTTAAAATGCACCCACAAGACCTCCGAAAGTTTCGGATCGGTCATGACGATCTTCAAAAAAAAGTCGATGAATAGTACCAACTACATTTATACTAAAAATTTGCAAAACCTGGCAGCAAGGATTTTTCCGAAAAATATTGATTTTTGAGGGCCAAGATGATGTTTTCTGGAAAAACAAAAAGAAGAAACCCCCCTCAAAATTGAGTTTTCTACGTGATTTAAAAGGAAAAATGAAAAGAAACGCATTGTGAAATACCCAAAATGCCCCTGGAACAGAATAGGGTAAAACTCCCTAAAGATGCTACTTAGAGTTTTTGTTTCATCAAGGAAGGTATTGTTTGCCAAAGTGAGCATGCAAGTGTATGTAATATGATAAAATAGATGTGCTACAATGGCCTATGGCCTCATTACAATACATTTACAGCATTTGACATGTCAAACTTTCAAGTTAGAAAAATTACATTTCATAGACAAATCATGAACATGCTAACACTTGCATGTGAACAAGAATGCTTCTAAAGAAGCTCAACTCAGCAAATCACCCAAGCAATTGTAATCTCCAATCTTGTATCCTATACCTGAAATATGCCCCAGTATCGTAGGGGTGAGTAACATAAAGCTACTCGTAGGAAATGAGCATGCATCGACCTAAACTTTTACAAGTTGCATGATTTAATTATTGTGATTCATTCCACCTAACGTCTATGTCAAGGTGAGATTCAGGGATCATCCTAGCTACCTAAGATCATTTCTAGCATCAATCATCTCATTCATGCAATTTTAACAACATAGGGTCATGCTTACACAAAGCAACAACATAGGAGCATGCTTACACAAAGCAACAACATAGTGGTTCTCAAGATTATCAACTTGAAGTCTAAAATGCAACATCAACTAAATATAACAATTTAGCATAATTAGAATATATAATACCACACATCAAGACATAGATTCTTTAGGTTATCAGTTAGCAATCTAAAAGTGTGAAATCAACTAAATATATCAATTTAGTATGGATGTACTTAACAACATCAAATCGCCAATTACCAAAACCACAAGTCACAATTAAACATTGGTTGTCAACTTGGAATTGAATGCGAAATCAAATAGTGGAAGACTTGGACATCACAGCTCGGATTTCCGCAGAGACAAGGCAAATTTGGAGCAATTAACCCCCAGGTAGCCTACCCAACGCGCGAACTTTTGACTTAGAGGACTCTTGTCCCCGTACTAGAGCCAAACCCTAGCCATCACAGCTTAACAATGTCCCAAGCAACTCCAAAATAAATAAGTTAATAACTTATATACGTATTAAACAGTACACCAAACTACCTTCATGCACAAGTAGGTTGTAACCACACAACACATGCTCTAAATCCACAACAACTATAGGATGAGAATGTCGAATCTTCAGAGCGCGATTCATTACGCGCTATAATAACATCACATGTCGAATCTTCAGTGTGCGACTCGTTACATGCTATAACAATATAATCCAA